CGTCTTGCCGGTGCAGAAAACTTAACTGGGAATAGCAGGGGCACTGCTAGGACTTCAACTGATGTTGTTGCCTATAAGAGTATCAATGACCTGCCACCACCCAGAGAGATGGTTATTCAGGTTGACCAGAAGAATGAAGCCATCCTTCTACCAATATACGGTAATATGGTTCCTTTCCATGTGGCTACTGTTAAGACTGTTTCAAGCCAACAGGACACCAACCGTAACTGCTACATCCGAATCATATTTAATGTTCCTGGTGCCCCTTTCTCACCTACTGATGCGAATGCATCAAAGAATCAAGGTGCCATTTACCTAAAGGAAGTTTCATTTCGTTCCAAGGATCCTAGGCACATAAGTGAGGTGGTCCAGGTGATTAAAACACTTCGACGTAATGTTATGGCAAGGGAGTCCGAGAGAGCTGAAAGAGCAACTTTAGTGACTCAGGAAAAGCTTGTCCTTGCAGGGAATAAATTCAAGCCAGTTAGGCTGCCTGACTTATGGATTCGTCCCTCATTTGGTGGTCGTGCACGAAAGCTTACTGGTACACTGGAAGCTCATGCCAATGGTTTCCGGTATTCAACCACAAGACAAGATGAACGTGTTGACATCATGTATGGTAATATCAAGCATACCTTCTTCCAGCCAGCAGAGAAGGAGATGATTACCCTTCTTCACTTTCATCTGCACAACCACATCATGGTGGGGAACAAGAAGACTAAGGATGTTCAGTTCTATGTTGAGGTAATGGATGTGGTCCAAACGCTTGGAGGTGGAAAGAGGTCTGCATATGATCCAGATGAGATTGAGGAAGAACAGAGGGAAAGAGATCGGAAGAACAAAATCAACATGGACTTCCAGAATTTTGTGAACCGAGTGAATGATATTTGGAGCCAGCCTCAGTTTAAGGGACTCGACCTGGAATTTGATCAACCTCTGAGAGAACTTGGGTTCCATGGGGTGCCCTATAAATCATCCGCTTTCATTGTACCAGCCTCCAGCTGTTTGGTTGAGCTGGTAGAGACCCCATTCCTTGTGATAACCCTAAGTGAGATTGAGATTGTTAACTTGGAAAGAGTTGGATTTGGTCAGAAGAACTGTGATATGGCTATTGTTTTTAAGGACTTCAAGCGTGACGTCATGCGGATAGATTCAATCCCTATTTCATCCCTTGATGGCATCAAGGAATGGCTCGACACAACTGACATCAAGTATTATGAGAGCAAGGTGAATCTGAATTGGCGTCAAGTGTTGAAGACCATAACTGATGAGCCACAGAGGTTTATTGATGATGGTGGCTGGGAATTTTTAAACTTGGAAGGTACTGACTCATCATCTGGAGATTCAGAATCAGACCAAGGTTATGAACCTTCAGATGCTGAACCTGAGTCAGATTCTGATGATGATGAGTCTGATAGTGAATCTCTGGTGGAGTCTGAAGATGATGAGGAGGAAGATGAAGATGAAGAGTCAGAGGAGGAAAAAGGTAAAACATGGGAAGAGCTGGAGAAAGAAGCAAGCTATGCAGATAGGGAGAATGGGAATGAATCAGATAGCGAGGATGAGAAGAGGAAGAGAAAGAAGAATTTTGGCAAGTCACGAGTTGGTCCCAGTTCTGCTGCCAGCAAGCGAATGAAGTTCAGGTAGATGTGTTAGAATGCCGTTTCTTTATTAGGTTCCTTCAGGATGCGCAGAATCAAGCTGCCTAGAAATAGTTGTCTTAACGTATTCTGGATCTTAGAATTGCTTTCATTTTGTTTCTTCTTTCGCTGTTTTTGGTTCCAAGTAGGTGGTAATTTTGATCTTGTAAAATAGTAGCGTCAAATCTGTGGAAACATATTTCTAATGCTTTTATCTGTTGTCTTTGAGAAACCTGCAGATTGTTTGTCTGAAAGTTGCATATATTTGGCAAATTGTCTTGGGACGAATTTTAAACATGTCAGATTAGAAATGCTAGCTGTATATGCCTTAGCTTGGCCTTTTCATTTTATTCTTTTTAGTATGCGATTCTACTGATTTTGTTAATATTTTTGTAGCAATAAGACAATCTGCTAGATCATACGCTCCACATCCGAGCACAGAAAATTGCTCCCAAGAGACACGGCAGGCATATTGATCATGAGTAGAATCTTATAAATAAATAACAATGGGATAAGTGATGATTTTCATTCCATTGTTAACATTGACAGGCATGCCTCTGTTCAAGGTACTTCCTATAATTCTACAGGATTTCAACATCAAAGCTGCATCAAATGTTGGTTCTCATAACGTGTTCCAGCCTAAGTTGTCTGAAAATCAGAAGTCGCCTCTCAATTGGTTATCCACGGGAAAGGAAAAAAAGCAAAAAACAAAAAAAGATGCATATGATTTCGAATACATCTTCCCATTTTTGCACTGTTGCCCCTAGTTCTTCAAGTAGCTTAACTGAAAGTAGAACTAAAGGGGCAATAAAACACGTAAGTAAACACCATATTTCTAATTTTGCCTTATGAAATCAAGCGGTAGGATGTTGCGCAACATAGTACTGTGGTGGTAAATTGCGAATGGCTGTTCGAATTCGGACAGACAAATTGCCAAAAGTGTCAGCCACATACATTCATCAACTGGTACCAGTTTCAGATCATTTCACAAAAGATTTAAGCCATGCAGTCACATTCTCACTTCAAGCTGTAGTAGCCTAGTGCCTACCTATGACACATCTGTATCCAAATATTTACAAGCTTCTGGTATATGCGATAATGCTAAATACTCCCAGGTATTTCTGTAACACTAAACGATAGGTAGAACACGACCTTCTGAACTATAAGAGACGAGCATTTATCCTACTTGTCCTTGAAAATGTAGTTGAATAACAACTGCCTAAGTTCTGAAGAATGAGAAGACAACGTCAATAGATGAGCTGAAACTTAACCCAACTTAAGTTGCACAATCTTATGTTACACCAATAAACTACTTAGCAAACACAGAAAAAGAGAGCACCACTATACTACAAGAAAGACCCAAGTCTAAACTCAGTTGTCTCATAAATATTTTACAGCTGCTTATCATGACCTTATGTAGCCTAAACAAATGGCCTAGAACGGAATAGCAGGCTACCACTGTCACTCTTTACCTAAACCTGGGTCTTTTGGATATGTTGCTAGCGAGATTTCTTCTCTCTGGAGGACGACCTTTCCCAAAAGCCTTCATATTCCTTCTCTTCCTATCATCGTCACTGTCTGATTCCGCTCCTTTCTCTCTGTCGGCATTGCTTGCTTCTCTTTCTAATTCTTCCCATGTTTTTCCTTCTTCTTCGGAGTATTCCTCTGAGTCCTCTCCTTCATCATCTTCTGACTCCACTACTGATTCGCTTTCATCATCTTCCTCGTCTGACGAGACAGGCTCTACATCTGAAGGTTCATATCCTTGATCAGACTCCTGTGAGTGGTCGGATTCCGAATCAGTACCTTCTAAATTCAAAAATTCCCATCCACCATTCTCTATGAATTCTTCTGGATCATCAGTAATTGTTTTCAGTATCTGACGCCAGTTCAGATTCAGCCTGCTCTCGTAGTACTTAAGATCAGTTGTATCAAGCCACTCCTTGATACCATCAAGGGAAGTTGAAGGAATAGAATCAATTCGCATAACATCTCTTTTGAAATCCTTGAATACAATTGTCATATCAAAATTTTTCTGCCCAAGCCCAACTCTCTCTAGGTTGACTATCTCAATCTCATTGAGAGTGATCACAACAAAAGGTGTCTCTACGAGCTCAACAAGGCAGCTAGATGTTGGGACTATAAAAGCTGTTGACTTGTGGGGTACCCCGTGGAACCCAAGCTCTCTCAACGGCTGATCAAACTCCAAATCAAGCCCTTTAAAGTGAGGCTGGCCCCAGAGGTCATTCACCTTGTTCACAAATGTTTGGAATTCCATGTTGATCTTATTTTTCCGATCCCTTTCACGTTGTTCCTCCTCGATCTCATCAGGATCATAAGCAGATCTTTTTCCACCTCCAATTGTCTGCACAACATCCATCACTTCAACATAGAACTGCACGTCCTTGGTTTTCTTGTTTCCCACCATTATGTGATTACGCAGGTGAAAGTGGAGGACGGTAATCATTTCCTTTTCTGCTGGCTGGAAGAATGCATGTTTGATGTTACCATACATAACATCCACTTTCTCATCTGACCTTGAAGTTCCATAGCGGAATCCATTTGTATGAGCCTCTAGAGTACCAGGAAGCTTTCTCCCACGACCACCAAATACTGGACGAATCCACAGATCTGACAATTTTATTGGCTTAAATTTGGCTCCAGCAACTTGAAGTTTCTCCTGTGTTACTAAAGTTGCTCTCTCAGCTCTCTCTGATTCTCTAGAGACAACCTGCCTGCGAAGGGATCTTATTTGTTGAACCACTTCAGTGATGTGCCTTGGGTCCTTTGAACGAAATGAAACTTCTTTAACATATATTGACCCCTGGAACTTTAGACTATTTGTGTCATGAGGAGTGAATGGAGTGCCAGGAACATTGAACATTATTCGGATATAGCAGGTACGGTTAGTATCTTGTTGACTAGATACACTTTTCACAGTGGAGACATGGAATGGTATCATGGTTCCATGAATAGGTAAAAGAATAGCCTCGTTCTTCTGGTCAACCTGAATCATCAAATCTCTTGGAGGTGGCAGATCATTAACGTTCTTATATGCAACCAGTTCACCAGTGGCTTTCACAGCTCCACGGCTATCTGACCCCCCAGAACTTCCTCCTGTGAGCCTCCGTGCAGTTTCTTCGTTCTTTTGGCGGGCCAATTCTGCCTGGTGTTGCCGCCTTAGTTCCTCCCTTGATGTCTCATGGTTAACTGACCTAAGCATAGCCTTGGATGAGAGTCCATCGGCGGCTACAGGCTTAGCTTTGACCTTCGGCTGCACCTCCTCTTCTTCTTCATCCTCATTGAATGAGTAAGCCACATCCTTTACAGCTTTAGAACTCATAGAAGTCACCACTTCTNATAAAGTGCAGAGCCAAGCAAGATGATCAGGAGAACCTGTGAAAAAGCTATCAGAAAGTTATACTTGTATCCCACCAGAGAATGCGAAGAATTTAAGATAAACAATTGTATGAAGTTAAAAAATTAGCGGGATAACTGTATGCTAAAAAAGCAAGAAGAAACTGGACACAGTTTATGGATTTGCTGGCCAGGAAAGGGAAATCACTTGCTTCACATGTGTCCTTTCAGTTGAATCAATTTAACTACTCCAACAGATATGAACTTAGGAAAGTAAAAAAGGAAGCTACTGCATTTGAAAATCCTAATGATTCCACCCAAAACTTTCTGACCATTTTCTCAGTCATAAAAACAAGTAGATTTCATCCTCTCGTTCTTGTTTTCCTATGGCTATGGTTCAGTTCAAACCCAATACTAACATATTCTGAGATAAAAATTGACAAACGCCAACTTTTACAGCGACACCACCTGAACTAAGCCTTAACAACATTTTCAAGATTCACAAAAAAAGGTGTACAAGATTACGCTAGAGTTCTTTTTTCTCTCCCAAGCAAACACTTTAATTTTCATAGATAGGATTTCTAATAAATCTAATAAAAAATATAGTTGTAAATAAAAAGAACAATCTCCGAGCTGAAAAACGTTAAAACTAACTAACATGAGTCTTCAAAAGTTGAACTTCCAAAATCCAAAAGAGCTAAAGGTGTTCAATTTATCAGAAATTAACTCACATACAGTAACTATCTGAAATTTATAAATTAAAAATAAAAAAAAAATCAATAAAGAGAAATTAGCACCAGAAAGTAGAAACTCACATAGCGAGTGATTGAGTCTGCGTTTCAGGAATGAAGGTTTCTCCGATCCCCTAATTTCCTGATCGTATAACAAACAGCTCAAAATTTCAGAAACTATTTTCAGATTCTACGTTTGAATCACAAAACAACAAAAAATCAATTAAAAACAAAAAAGGAAGGGAAAATGATGAATTAGCTTACATGATTAAAGCTTTTGCGATGATCAGTATAGATCTGATGCGTTTATAATGGATAAAGAAGATCATCAATGGAGCTCCGAAGGAAGAAGATATAGTAAATACTCCTATGTTTTGTCTGATTTAAGATGGGGACTCAGCTCAGGGTTCGTTGCGTTTATATACGCTGTGCATAATGACTTCCCTTATCCTTCCACTTTCAACATATTACGCAGTTATACGGATCCCTATTAACCCATATACCCGTCGTCTTGTCATTTCATATCTACCCAATTTGTATTTGTTTGGTTTCCATTCAGTGTCTCATTCTAGTATTGGACCTGATTAATTTCGAATTCGTAAATATACCCATATATTTTCGAAAATGATCTAAAAATACCATTCGTTATACTATTGGACTATATATACTTTTCCCGTCATATTTTGAAACAAATATAACCTTATTTTGGATAGAGTGCCACGTGTCACCACCAGATGAAAACGACCCATTTCTTTTTTTGTACCCGATCCATTTTAAAAAACCCACCACCCGACCCGTTTTTAAAAACTATTTGTTTTTTGTAAAAACTAAAAAAAAAAGAATTTACAAAATATATATTTTTAAGTCTTATCAGTTTTTTTAAAGTATTCTTTTTGTAAAAATTGAAAGAAAAAAAAATTAAAAATCTGAAGAAAAAAAAAAGACTCTCCTAAAGCAGTGGACTACATATGCATTAGTTTTTAAAAAATAAAAATATTTTGCAAAATCTTTTTTTTTTCCAGTTTTTACAAAAAAAAAAATACTTTAAAATTGAAAAAACTAAAAAATATATATTTTGAAAATTCCTTTTTTCCAGTTTTTACAGAATATATATTTTTCAGTTCTTAAAGCATTTTTTTTTTAAAAAAAATCCAGTTTTTACAAAAAACATACTTTAAAAAAAAATGAAAAGACTTAAAAATGTATATTTTGCAAATTCCTTTTTTTTTCCAGTTTTTACAACAAAAAAAAATCTGTTTTCACAAAATATATGCTTTAAAAAAACTAAATTTTAAAACGGGTCGGGTGATGGGTTTTTTTAAAACGAATTGGGTAAAAAAAATGGTCGTTTTCGTCTGGTGCTGACACGTGGCACTACATCCAAAATAAGGGTATATTTGTTCCAAAGTATGACGGGAAGGGTATATATAGCCCAATAGTATAGCGAGAGGTATTTTTAGATAATTTTCGAAAGTACAGAGGTATATTTGGCCCTTTGCCGATTCGGATTTGTGCCGAAAAGTTTCATTTAAGGGATAAAGCGCTATATGAGTTCATGATAAAGGCGACTTCGTACCCAACAACTTGAATTCGGGAACTGATTAAGGACGAAGGAATCGTCGCAACCCTTGTTGGTTACTACTTTCACTTCGTAGTAGGATGTGGTTTGGTTATTGTAGGATACTCATTTCGATATTAAATTATTTATTTATTGTTTGGTTATTGGTATTAGTTATATTAATATTAACTAGTGAATCTATGATGAAAAATATCATTAAAATCATATTTTAGTTACATACGTATTCCATATCATCTAAATTTCTAAAAATATTAAACCCCAATTCAAGAATGATATAAAAAATAAAAAATACAAAAGTTTATAAAAAATAAAATATATATAAAAGTTCATATGATCGCATGTCTCAAGACCTACAATTGGTGATGTCAAGGTGGTATTCTTTGACCAACTTTATTGTTGGTATATTTTTCGATAAGCTTTGAAATAAATAATTCTCAAAGTTGACTGTTCTTTCTCAAATATTTAAATGCATAATATCTAGCACAAAATCTTCATAATAATATAATACACGTGTACGTAATATGCATTTCTTATGCTTTTCAAAAGACATGTCCAACCTCACAAAATTGCTCGTTAAACTTGAGTAACTCATCGAATTTGAAGTCATTTTATTCGACTTGGTATATCTTGCAACACAACTAATGCCTAGTAGTATAATTAATTTGTTTCCAATATCATTCTCATAATCTTATTTTAACAATTACTGTTAGTACTTTCTGTTAGCACATATATCGGGACTTAAACTAAATTAGTTAATTTTCTTTTCAAGAATAACAATTGTAAAATAATAAAAAAATATAGTAATTCCCAAAGTAAAAATGAGTATACGTTCCGTTGAAATATAGCCAATACAAAAGACTCAATATATTCTTAATGAAAGCGAGAATTGAAGAAGCAATATGAATGGCTAGATGATAAGGGAAGAAACTTGCACGTAGAGCTATTGCAATTGTAAGAATTTTTTATTCTTTATAAATATGGATTATCATGAACGATTGTAACGGTCCAAAAATACGGAATATGAAAGGTTGAAACCATAACAACCATTCTATTTACATTTATAGATAATCAAGTAAAAAATATTTGCTTACGGATTTTTTATATATAATATTTACATCTATAAATAATCAGCTAAAGAATTTTAAAGAAATGTGAATTCTTTAGTTTTACTACTTTTCACTAAAATAGGCACTTACAAAACTTCAGAAACCGATTGCACCGGATAGAAAAAGTAAAAAAGCACATGTAATTACTCTTTTACGTTACTACACAATTACAATTCTTTTTTGCTACTCCCTTCCCATAGAGATATTCAAAAGGAATTACCGAATTATTTACCACAAACTATAAAGTCAATTATTTGATGCTGCTCCATTTCTCATCTAAAGGTTTTATATTGACAAAATTTTCATCCAAGCAATCTGCAGATCGTATCATTGTCCAATTATGTAGTAATTTTCTTGCAATATAACAATCAAAAATTAATCAACAGAAAGAAAGATAAAAATAAAGTGTTGTTGAAGCTCTTAATTCTTTCAATAAACTTCAAGGAATATGTGGGGAAAAAAAAAACTTGTGAGAAGTGAGAATCAAAAATCAGAGTAGAAGAATAGTAAAGAAGTCGATTTAACGGTGTATATTTATGAATCTATTTCAATATGGTCCATGAAACTGATATATTTTAAAAAACAAATAGTGACATACCTGGTATTCTTCTACCAATTTCTGGCTAGCCATAATCCCTATTTCTCCATTTTTATTTTCACTCACAGGGAGGGCAGTAAAACAAAGAAAGCGTGAAGCTACTACTTTCAAATTCAAATTCAATTGAGGAAATCAAATATGAATAAAAACTTTGCACAATCTATAATCTCATACGATATCAAGTAAAGCAAACAAAGTTACAAAATATTATAGGATTAGAATTGGATATCTGGAGAGCAAAATACCTCTATTGGAACACTCCTCGAGCATTGGAATTATTTTTGAGTTATGGGTAAAAAAACTAAAGCATAGAAAGAAAACAGGGAGATTTAAAGGAAATAAATAAATAGCAATAATGATGATGTTTAAGTGGAGGAAAAATTGTAACGGAAAAAAGGAATAGAAAACGATCTAGGAAAGAGATGAATAGTATATTAATGATGAAATAAATAAACAAGGCATGCTTAATTGTTAGCAAAATTTAAATGCAAAAATAAGGAAATAGGTATAAAATCTAAGAAAAAAGATAAATGTGATATTTGGCCAAAGAAACATGCCACGTCATCTTTTATTATTCCAACTTTATTATATATATAGATATAGATATAGATTTTATACCAAACAATTGATATTATCTCATATAAGAGATGAAATTCCAAAATTATATTGTCCTGGAATGATCTTATTTTGAACCAAAAGATCTTAATAGTTCTCCGTATGACACATTTACTGCACCTAATTGAGCTCACTTTGTTAGTCTTAAATGCGGATAAAGGAAAAAGGTTGACAACTTAGGTAAAATTAGTCAATTCTAGAGGCGATTAAATGAAGCCACGTGGATAGTAAATTTTTTAATTGAACTTCAACTTGCTTTGACATATTAAGTATCTTTATTTCTTTTAACAATAAAGTTACATAATTAAAAACCACATGAAATGACAAGAAAATATTTGCCAAACAATGTCGTTAAATTTTGTTTAACTTCCTGAATAGCACTAACAATGTAATATAAAATGGACCTATTGTCTGGAATTCTGTTGTCAACTTGAAGACCTTTTCCATTCCATTAATAGACTAATATAATTATTGATTATTCTATTTGTTAGATATGCATGATAATGCCGGCGACAACACATAGGGAGTTAGTACGTTATTGTAACAAAAACAAATTTAAAAGCAGTTATCGTAATAAATAGCCAAGTTTTAGAGTTTATTAGTAAGTCTTAACTTAACTTATGTGCTAGTTTGGATGCATTCACGATCCTCACTATATCTTAATTTCGATAAGATATTATAAAACTTGACAGGGTTTTTTAATCTTAATATTTTTACTAAGATCTAACGCATCCACATATACACTAATATTGTTTGCACTTCCTAGTGATATGGTACTTAAATTTAAAAATAAATCTCTGTTTTTTTTTTTTCCACCAAAATTCTTGGACTATTATTCTCGTAAAATATATGCATAGTATGATCTAAATTAAAGATGATGCGGGAATAATAAACGGCGTCTATAGTTTCTAAAGAATCAATATACTAATAAAAGAAATAGTTTCATTTGAATTGGTTTAAGTACTTTCAGGTTTCTTTTTGAAAAAAAAATTAATGAGTAATAATCTTTCTGAAACGAACATTTTATTCGACATGAAAAAAAATACTTATAAATGTTTTAACACAATCTCTTTCGCTTTCAACTTTTTTCAAGATATAAATTGATCTTCCCCTCCCTCCCTCCCCCAAAAAAGATAACATAATGGTTATATAATTAATCGACTTGCAACAGTTCCAGTTGGCATCGACATCCATTTGTAATTTTTAGTACCATGATATTTGTATTGTCCCTTTAGAGTAAATGAGGTTTGTCTCAAAATCTAACACTAACCTTTTCCCGGGGAAATAAGGAGATTAGTTAAGTAAGGATAAACATAAAGGAAAAAAAATTAGAAAAAAAGGAAACAATAAATAGGGTGCGGAAGTGTAAATTTCAATTCCAAAAAACGCAGCGTTAAGCTTCTCACTTTAATACCGAGGTTATATATTACAATTTCAACACTTTGCACCAATCTGAAAAACTCCACCGTCTTCAAATTCCAGTTTCCACCTTTTCGCTCCTCGCGCTTCCTGTTCTTATCTTTACACTTTGGTGAATTTTCCCCTTTGGACCGTTGTTTCTTGTGAGTTTTCTTCTTCTCATCTTGTGTTTCTCTATTAATCTTTGCTGGCATGCTAGGGCTTTGCTCCACATAAAGTTTAATATGTCCACCGTCTTTGTTTTTTTTAGGTGTTTGAGGAAATTCTTGAATGAATCAGGCTTTTTTCTAGATTTCTACTATTGTTTTGGGTTTAATTTCTTGCTTCGCCGATGGACTGGAATTAATGTGAGTGTTTATTATACTTAAGTGTTAATTTTGCCAATATTGAGCCTTATTCTGCCAAAAACTTTGTTATAATGGAATTAAAATGATAAATCCAGCATTACCGGTCGTGGAATAGTTGGGGAAACCTATGAGGAGTAAGTAGTGTGCTGCTGTCAACTTATGAGATTTTTCTTAGTAGACTCCATAATTACCTTGATGTGAAGAAACATACCATTAGTGACGACTTCTATTCAGACTTGGGTTGTATATTGTTAATGACCAATCCTTAGCTATTCAGGTAACCTATGTGCTCATTATTCCCTTATTTTCTCTTGAATTACCTGCTTTCTTCTACTGTGACTGCTGAATCGAAACATATTCTGTCACATATGAAAATATTAGTTTGACTCACTTATGTAACCTACGTGCTGATAGAACCCTTGGTTGGCAGTAGCTTAATTAACATTAAAGTACAAGAACTTGTGATCCAAATATTTAGACAAGAGCTTTAAGTAGGTTTTATTTAATTGAGCCAAAGGCTGATTAGAACTTTAGGCAGGATTTGCCTAATAGAGAAAGGAAAATTTAGGAAAAGTGTGAATGATGACTTTTTTTCATAATGCCAGTAGGGAAAAGAAAAGAAGAAAAAGTTTCCACCAATGCAATAACCAGCAAGGCCCTCATTATAGAACGTACACCATTTTCTCTCAACACTCCATCAACATGATTTCTACAATCTTACCTTACCAGTAATGTTTCAAATGTGTTCATGCTTCGCCACTGCACTTAATTTTTTGATTCTTACACAGTATTTTTGTTGCATTCTGCATATTTTTAGCACTCTCCATTTGTTTTTCGGTTTCTGCATTATATTTTTTGATGGGTCTTGAAAAGCTGGCTGCAATAGTGAAGACAATATACGCTTCCTTGGAAATGTGCTGCAACAGAAGAGCACCAAATTTGCAAGAATATTGACGTCAAGTTGTCTGACTAGCTCATTTGAGGTTCTATTAGTGGATCTGTAGATTGAGACATCTTGCTCTTCCAGTAAAGGAATAAAGTACACGTAGAATCACTTGGAATCCTAGATTAATATTGAGTGGTTGGCTATTAAATAGGTCCATTGGACGCCAGCTACTATTGTTGTTATGCGCTTACATAATTCATGGCAGCGTGGCTCCAAGCTTGGCACAATCCTAGGAAATGCTCCAATGTTGCTAGTTTTTAGCGTTACTTGTTTTATTATAAAAGCTAAAATAACCTATAAATTTTACTTACAACTCACTTTTACTGTACAACCTCGTCTAATTGACTGTGATCCAGGGAGTTTAATCATGACAAAACTTTTTGCAGCTTTGTTTGGCTGATTTCAATTAAACATGGATGTAAAAACTGAGGTCCTTTACTCTTCCTTTTCGTTTTAAATCTTCTGAAGCATCAAATAAACTCAATCAACTGTGAGTGTTTATCATACTTTAGTGTTAACCTTGCCAATATTGAGCCTTGTTCTACCACAAAACTTTGTTATAATGGAATTTCCCATGATAAATCCATCATTTTCTCGCAACAATGCTAGCTCATTGACTTGGTAACAACCGTTTGTTTTTCCTCCACGCCTTTATTTGAAAAGATATGTAAATACTTCCTACATATCTTCTTAAGAATGATAGGAGCACCTCAAATTCAATGACTCTAAACTCTTTTTTTTTGTTTTACTTTGGAGGGCAGGAGATTTTGGAAGCTATTTGTTTGGCATGAGTCAAGTTGTTGCAAAATAGTCTGTTGAAGCTAATAATGCAACTATTATCAAGAACCACTCTTTGCATGGATGATAGAGTTTCTTTTCATTGGTAGCTTTCTTGAACTTTTCTTAGTGGCTCCTTTACGCAAGGTATATTCTTATCTTTGCTGAACTCATTTGCATAACAAATTTTCAGGTGAACTCATTTAAACTTGAATATCTCTCCATGATCCCATTGTGAAATTAAAGCTCATTGGGCCTGTGTTGGCACGGGCTGCACCCATCTAGTACTAACATAAGCGTTGTCTTGTCATTTCCCAACAATTCAAAGCCTCTGAGGTAAAACAATCGCGCCTCTAACTTGGGCCTGATATTATTTCTAAGGTATATGTCTTTGTTGTTGTTGATCAAATTATTACGAGTAATAAATTCAGATCCTTCATTTCAAACAATTCAATGTTCTTGAGCCGAGGGTCTATCGAAAACCTCTCTTCCTTCATAACGTAGGGGTAAGGTATGCGTACACATTACCCTCCCTACACTTCACGTGTGGGATTTCACTGGGTTTGTTGTTGCATTTCAAACAAAAAAGGAAAGTTTAGAAATTTGAAGTTTAAAAAGGATGGTTAGCTTTAGGCCACAGTATGGCTTCAACTTTTTGTTGCAATATATAATTGCAAATGTCGCTAATAGCTTGAACCCGCAACCCGCCCCGTATAAGGTATAACCGCACGCCCTAATTTCCTTATCTCAATCCAATTTCAAGGAACCCTAACTATAATTTATTGGGTTAGAAGAATTTAATGGCTCTTGGATTAGAGTCCTTATACCTTAGTTGTTACCCCCTTGAATCCTTCTTGTAATTGTCAATTGTTCTTACCCATATCGGATACAGTTCAATGTCAACACATCCTACTCCACAGCTTGCATATAGTTCCCAAAAGTCCTTGAGTGAAATCCAGCAGGTCGAGTTAGATTCTTTTTAGTCCTTCGTTTCGGTGTGTATTTGGTCCTACAATGATGTAGTCCAAGTTCTTAAATATGATGGCGTTAAATATTCATAAATTCAAATGCATACTTTGGTAATGTTTTAGCAAGTCTGTTTATTTTAATTTGTTTATCCCAGTTCTTTTGAAACTAAAAGAAAAGGTTTCAAGTTTCTGTGTTTCACGAGTTACTGAATGATTAAGTTGGAAAAGATCTATGCTTGTTTAAACTGTGGGCAAGTTGGCTTCACATGCTGTTAAATTCTTTGTGGGTTATTGTTGAAATTTCCATGTGGCAATGTGAACTGTAGGCATTTTATTCAAGATGGTAGTTTGATCTTTGACATAGGCACGAGCTTGTTTCCGTAGAAAAATTAGTGCACAAGAAGGATGGTGAAATTGTGGGACACACATGGAATATATGTTCATAACTTGTACTGATAGGAATGATCAAACGATCTAACAAGACGGGATCCCTAATATAATAGTGTATATGATTTGTTATCGATTAAATTAGTGATTTTTCCAAAAACTATATAACCTTAACTATTATTTAACTATATTTCAAGTATTTCGATAGTTCAGAACTTGTACTGATAGGAATGATCAAACGATCTAATAAGATGGGATCCCTAATATAATAGTGTATATGTTTTGATATCGATTAAATTAGTCAGATAAAGGTCATCGTTGCATACAATATTTCGATAACTTTAACTATTATTAATTATATTTCAAGTATTTCGACAGTTCATAAGTACTAACAAGACAGGATCACTAATATAATAGTTAGCTTTTTCTACAATTTAGTTATTAATAATTTCCCTCAATTGGTGGTTACACGTTGGTCACATAGAATTTTTTTTTTTTTTTCGAGATTCAAACTTCCTAATTTTGATTGTACATTTGGACATAGAATCTTTTAATTTGTCGAAATAAAATTTACATATTTGAAAATTATACAATACTACAAAGTTACGATAAATTATGTACAACTAGTAAATAATTTCGTATAAATTAATTTTGCGCGATTAAAATATATAAATTATTTAGCAAAAAATCAACATGCTAATAATTAATTTAGAAATAATTACTATATTGTATGAGAAAGAAACATTTGCAAATAGCAACTTTTCAATTACGTGTCACCGGTATGGAGAATAAAGGGGACAAGAAGCATATAATGGAGAATAAAGGGGTTATCTTATTATATTACTTATATTATTACTATTACAATTACAATTAATAGTGCTTTAGGAAGGAATTGCGTATCGTCTCTTCTAGGTCATCTTCCTCAAAGTTCCCCAACTTTTTTCAAGCTCTTACAGATGCTCAAAATTCCCCTACTTCTTTCAAGCTCTTACAGATCGTCATGCACGCTTCGTTCACGCCCCTTCATTCTTCCCTCATAAGAGAAAAAGAAAGCCATTCAACGCAAAGTTCCATCTACATCGCTGCTGGGTCTATAAGAAGTCCAAAATTAGAACATGACCCCTTGAATTCTTGGTTTCTCTGACACACAAAGCAGCAAATATGAGACAAAAATACTACAATATTGAAGGTATGTCATTTTCCATAACTTAAATCTGTTTAATTTTTTATTTTGAGAAATCAAAATCTCAAATTTTCTCCCAAATTTGTCGTTGGACTCCGGTCAAAGTGTCCGAAGTCGGTTGACCGAATCCGGGACGTATCCCGTCCCCGTCGCGTATCGGGACGGGAACGGCACTAAAATCGTCCGTGCAACTTAGGACTGGAGTCCCACAAGTGGAGTCTGGATATGTTGCAAAGTAAAAATAAATTAAATACATTTTGAGGAAAAAGAACAGAGAGAAGTCTAATTTAAGTCATTCTCATGCGCATATGCAAGTGGAAAACATACCATTTGCCAGCTTGAGGTGTTTACGGGACACAACCGCGCCAAACAGAAGTGTCTATTTGATCATTAGCTAAGTTATCTGGCAAACAAAAGTTTCTACATGATCATTAGCTAAGTTTGTATGTCTAGCTGACAAATTGTGCCACGTTTGAGGGGCTATATAGTAATTTAGCCAAAAAAGAAAAATTGCTGGTAGGGTGTTATTATTTTTAGACCAGATTTTTTTTTGTTTTGAACATTCTAGTAATTTAGCCAAATAAGTTAGCCTTTATTGGTATCAGGTATTAAATGCTATATTAGATGTTCTCTTATATGCTATGGTGTCCATGGACTTTTATGGTTTGTAACTTGCATAATGGGTGAGGTTTATTTGCAACATCTATTCTTGTCATGTGTTTTATGAACTTATGAGCGAAATTTTGCTTGTTATCAGTACTTGGGAAGAGTTCTCTGATGGCAAATGAAGAAGTCATCGCTGTTAAAGATGCTATCCACAAGCTGCAACTCTGTCTTCTTGAAGGCATTAAAGATGAAAACCAACTCTTTGCTGCTGGGTCTTTGCTGTCCCGGAGGGATTATCAGGATGTAGTAACTGAACGCTCAATAGTAAACATGTGCGGTTATCCTCTTTGCAGCAACTCTCTGCCTTCTGAAAGGCCTAGCAAGGGACATTACCGGATATCATTGAAGGAGCATAAAGTTTATGATCTTCACGAAACATACACGTACTGTTCAACAAACTGTGTTGTCAACAGTGGAGCATTTGCTCGTAGCTTGCAAGATGAGAGAAGCACTACTTTAAATACCGCAAAACTTAATGAAGTCCTGAAGCTATTTGTGGGATTGCATTTGCATTCCATAGAGGATGTGAAGGAAAATGGAGATCTAGGATTATCCAAGTTGAAGATTCAGGAAAAACTGGATGTAAAGGGTGGTGAAGTTTCAATGGAAGAGTGGATGGGTCCATCTGACGCAATTGAAGGCTATGTTCCACAGAGAGATCGAAGTGTGAAGCCAGCACTGCTGAACAACGTTAAGAAAGGTACGAGAACTTCAATGATCTAAACGTGCATATGTGGTAGTTAACAGAGAAAAGAACCTACAAACTTATGCTTGTTGTAGTCACTACATTTGAAATCTAGAAAAAACTTAAATGATCTGAATGTGCATATGTAGTTAACAGAGAAAAGAACCTGCATGCTTATGCTTGCTGGAGTCACTTCATTTGAAATCTTAGAATAAGAGACTTCATATTCTAGTTAATCAATGTATGCCTTTGTTGATCAAGACAAATACTTGTAATTTGTCAGGATTCAAGAATAAGCAGACCAAACTCCAAAATGAGAAAAACATGATACTAAACGAGATGGACTTTTCCAGCACTATAATAACTCAAGATGGGTATAGCAGTTCAAAGTTACCAGTTTCTGTCAATGTTGTCTCAAGTAAAAAGGTTAAAGAAGCACAAACAAAAACAAGCTATGAAGGTAGGGATGCTGATGTTTCTATATTGGGGAAGCAAGTTGATGCCTTGCAGTTGCATTCTGGAGAAGAAACAGAAAAAACAGATTCGAATGATAGAAGTTATAAGGTCGATAAATTTGACAACGGAGAAGTGTCTTCTGGTCCTTGCTAACATGATGTCAAGAACATAAGTCTTGAGGTACTAGATATGTCTGATGCCGGAAGAGAACATGCATCAGATGGTGCACGTGAAAAACAACCGCTCAGATCTTCTCTAAAATCCTCAAATTACACGAAAATGACTCGTTCAGTTACTTGGGCTGATGAAAATATTGATAAAGGCACTGTAAAGAAAATGGAGTGTTCATCCGAAATATCAGAAGAAGCGGATCAAGCTTATAGGGGATCAGGCCCTACAGACATGGAAGAGGTTGATGATTCATATCGATTTGAATCTGCAGAAGCATGTGCAGCAGCACTAAAACAAGCAGCAAAGGCTGTTGCCTCAGGTTCTGATGTCCCTGATGCTGGTATGACAATTTCATTAGACTCTCCATATTTGTAATATTAATAGAGATTGTATGAGTAAGTCATACACTCTTTGGATCTAATAGCTTTTGAGTTCTGCTGTGCATGTGACTTTTAGTGTCCAATGCCGGGATTATAATATTGCCACCCCCACAAGAAGTGGATAAAGCAATACTTCAGGAGAACGATGAGGTGCTTGATACAAAACCAGCTCCTTTAAAATGGCCAAGAAAACAAGGGGTGCCAAATTATGATGTTTTTGAATCAGAGGACTCTTGGTATGACAGTCCACCAGAGGGGTTTAATTTGAATGTAAGTTGCTCATCAAACCTTCTACACTTCTGAAACTNTCTTGCTCGCTGTCTCGCTCGAGCATTACCGGAATTGGTTGCTGACCTTAGGCTGCCTGTACCAATATCAGTTTTAGAGCAAGGAGTGGTATGTTTACACTTTCAGATAGTAACCTTCCCCTTCCCAAGCCATTTTAGCAGAATTATGGAAGTAGTCAATTCAATGACTTTTGCATGCTGTAAGGAGACTTTAAGTGTTCTTTTTTGGGTGAAGTTAGGACCCAATTTAGTTTTTTGATCTGGTTTGGTATTGGGAAGCAATATTAATCTCATTGTTTTGTTTGTTAGGACTTCATTTGTTAGTAGGGGATACTTTACATATGCATTATGTATGTTGACTATTTGCAGTGTGCATTGCATGAAGTTGTAGAATGCAGGAAGCTTTTAAAGGATTGTCTAGGGTACTTGAAAGTTCAAATTTTATGGCTCTCTTTTTCACTCACCCAGACACATCAACATTATGTGACGGGGTTGGGGAGGGAGTCAGTACAAGAATCACCCAGTCATTATGATGGAAAGATTTTCCGGAGCAGTATGTAATTGGCCGGCAATGGTAATGGGACAGAATCTTGTTTCTATGAACAAATTAATGGGAAAGTTGGCTATGGCTTGCTGAAACTAAGCTTGTGTGATTTGGTATTCTCATTAGCGCCATCATACTTTTAATAATGTTTGATGTTTATTTTCAAAGCTATAGGAGGTTCTTTGATGCGTGTAGAGGGTTAGCTACTCACATTTTCCCGTTGGCTGTGAATCTGTGATGGCGTAGTTGGGTAGATGATGGGTATTAGTGGTTTAATAATCATGTCACGATTAATGTTGTAATCATCACATGTGAGGATAACTCTTCTTCGTTTGACATGTGCAGGTTCTCTTGATAGATACAATGTCTTTTGTGGATCCACTCCCTGCATTCAGAATAAAGCAGTGGCAACTAATTGTTCTTCTGTTTCTTGATGCTCTTTCCATATGTAGGATACCTGTACTGACTCCATATATGACAGGGAGAAGGACTTTGCTTCCAAAGGTAGAATTCTGGGATTATACCCTTTTATATTCTCATGTTCTGTTTCATATGTAGTATATTTGTTTTGATCGATAATGTTAGTTTGGCATCTTCCAAAGCTGTATTCTGGCTTCTCTCACGCGATTTTGTTCTCCTTTTCGCACTCTTTAACTTTTTTTCTCTGGTATTCTCCTTCCCCAGGTCTAGTTGTTTCTTCCTAATCTTCACTAGGTTTGCCACCTTCCAGAATGGCATAAAAGGACTTAAATGCCTATGTTGTAATGGTGGCAGCTATCACCAAGTTGAACTTGAATATTTCAGAAAATGATCCTGAGTACTGCTTCTGTACTTAGTAGTAGAGTATTTACTTACCTTGTTAGGAGTAAACAATGACTGCTTATGTTGTACGAAAACTAAAATCATAGGAAAGTAGCTTTTCTTGTACATTGTTGCACTCAAGTATTTTCAATCTTTTCAGAGTTTCCGGCATGAGATGTTAGTAGTTTCTTGACTTTGTGAGTACGGGTTGGACTGAGTTTCTTTTGTTCCCTTTGGCTTAAACAGGTGCTTGATGGTGCTCAGATAAGCGCAGTGGAATATGAGATCATGAAAGATCTAATCATTCCACTAGGTCGAGTGCCTCAGTTTTCAATGCAAAGTGGAGGCTAATTTGATAAGTATATAACTGCTTTGCAGACTCCCTCCTCTAAACTTTCATGAGAGAAAGTAGTTCTGGAAAGTGTGCACAAAGGTCATAGGAGTAATTATATTTGGTGGTTGCAACTTCTGTTCTTATCTGTTTATGTTTTATAGAGATGCTATGTCGTCAAGACACTGATGTACTTTGATGATTCATTATTGACGAGATTCTCTTTGATATCATTCTTCTGCGGACTAATAACATTTTTGGTTTGAGGTGTAAAGAGGGGTTGAATGAGTGGAAACACATAGAGTGGTAAGCGTCATTTTCCTCACGTGGTGAGAAATAAAAGAGGACTGAAGGAGAAGTGACACTGGGTGCCATTCCCCCCAGTTTTTCAAAACCATCTAGAAGCCCAGAAAGTGTTATCAATTTTTCTTCCTTTCTAACTGTATTAAATGATTGGAAGTAAATCTTCTTATACTTTATCTAAGCAAAGTAAGTGAACAATTTTCTCTTTACCTTCTCCTTGTCCTTCCTGTAACCAAACACGCTTACTAGCTGTGGTAAATAATAAATATACATCGGAAGGTGTTTTTTGTTCTGGTTTTGCCGCTGTCATTTAATATTTGGAGTAGTTTCTTTAAATGGTTTTAATACCTTGTGTAGGTTCTCAAGTAGGATTGATGCTTGGTCAGAATACCTAGAAGGGTACAATCCTAATGCCTTAAAGTTGGAGTTCAGTTGTTTCACTGATGTTTCAGTTCTTGAGAAGGTCAGGAATGTGTGAGTGGGAAGGCGAAGGAATAGGTCGAACTTATACGAGATGCAACCAGAAATACTGCTTCACTCCATGTTTACTGCGAATTAGACAATTTAACTTTCATAGTTATAAATTAAAGTATGAATACATTTCATTTAGTTATGGTTAAATAGTAAATGTATATTTGTAAGATACATAATTTGTTGTTTTTCTTTATGAAACCAACTTTACCCTTGTACCGTTTTATTAGGCTGTGAAGCACAATTGAATAGGACTAAATTGCCTGATGGCATGACAAAGTGGACTAGTTGACATATGTCACATACCTAAAATTGTTAATCAATTAACAATTTAGACTGTGTAATCATTTCTTGAACGTGGATAATTCAGACAAGCCAGCTAAGTATTGCTGTTTTGATTAGAGCAGAAATATATTAATGCAATCATGAATTTATTTAGTCAATTAGCTGCTTTTAATACATGGAGATTGGAGACCAATTTGATATGATCAGTCCACCTTACGATCTGTCACTCTTACTGTTGCACAGTATAATGATGGATTGTCCTTTTATCATCGGTCAACTATTGTTTGGTGGAAAATAAAACGAATTACCCAGATTTTTGTGTTTTAACGTTTAATGATTCAATATAACTGTATCAAGGTATTATCTCAGAAATTATCTTAGGAATATTCTCATCTGGCTCATCGTAGACAAATTCCATGCAGCACCTTCACTCTACAACAACAACAACAACTCAGTATAATCTTACGGGTCTAGGAAGGTTAGTGTGTACGCAGATCTTACCCCTACTCCGGAGGGTAGAGAGGGTCGTGTGTACGCAGACCTTACCCCTACCCGCACCTTCCCTCTAAAAGTTAAGTAAAAAGAGTAACAAATTGAGTATTCCATTTTCCTCCGTCTTTCTATATGACGCTATCATTCTAGGAGAGTAAATAATATTTTTGAGCTATGGTATTTCATTTTTTTAACTGGTGATTTGTAGTATTCTATGTGAAGTTTTTATATTAGAAAATAGGAAACTTTGTCCGAAATTATACGGGCAAAAATAAATGAATTAGTAGTCATCCTTGAAATACGTCATTGGTTTAAGATGCGAGTAGAATAGTAAATACGTTTATTTTTACTGGAAGTGTGGCTACTAGTTTAATAGGTGATGTCATTTCCATCTTATTCCCATTATAATAACTGATGATTAGATTACAACCCCTCTGCTTATCGAATGCTCGTTCAATTATTAGCTAAACTAATTTAAAATACCCTTTTTTCTATGTAAGTTTTTAATCCAATATATTTATTGAGGCAATTTGAAGTAATGCCATTAATTGAAGAATTGAAGAAATATCTACTTTCAATGTCAGCGAATATAGTATATAATTTAGCCACTCGGATCATCTCGTCTTTTTTTTCTGTATGGAGTGTCTCATAATAATCACATTACAAATACATATACTATTTGATTAATAATTAACTGGATATGACAAATGGAATTCTCTCTTTTAACTTCTAAGCTGATACCAACATTATCAATGAAATGCTATAAGTTTATCACTTTCAATTTATAATTTTTCATCTTATGTACTTTTGGTTTGTCAAGATTTTTTTTAATTTATCCCCGCTGGGTTTTAGCTTATTAGCTTTTCCTTTTGTGCAAGCAAATTTAAGATTATTTTAATAGTAAATTTAACCAATAAATGCTTATTAGCCCTTTTTATTAAGTATATCACATCGTATTATCAATTTTAATTAGCGTTTGGTCTTGGTTCAGCTCATATATGGACAATTCATTGGTTAAAATGAAGAAAAGACTAATAAGCGTTCAATAATTGAAGTCATAAATGAAGTTGTTATTTAAATAGTTAGGTAAGTCTTCTTAAATTTAGTCTGTGTTTGGCCAAATTATAAGTACCTCAAATAGTAAATGAGAGAGTTAACCAACCATTTAGTTTTGGGATAAAAGATCTTGGAAAAATAAATGAAGCCTATTCATCTCACCAATTACTAAAAGTCAACAAAGTGATTAAAACTGACGACTTTCCCTAAAGTTTTACTTAATTCAATGAGCACATCATAAGTTCATAATAATAGATAAAGCAATTTAGTCCCTTAAATGACATTGATATGTTAAAATAAATTCAAAATCATGTAATTAAATTTTGTTTAAAATATTGGGTCCATGTTGTAAATTTGTAATACAGTCATATATCTCTATAACGATATTCATATATAACAATCATTCACTATAAAAGCCAAATTTTTCTTAGAACCGATTTTTTTAGTTATATTTTACCTATAACAGCAATAGCCATATTTACAGCAGAACATTCTTTGTAAAATTATCCATCTATAACAACTATCTAGTATCTTTAAGGTTACTAATAATAATTCTAAAAATATTCACCCAATCTTTTCCATTGAATAAAGTTTCTATCTTGCATAAGACATGAGATTTAAAGATCTGCACATAATTTATGTTACGTTGGATACCTTTTTGCTGAAAATTTAGACACAAATTTTCGCCAATTCAAGCGTTATATCGGTAGTAAGAGAATTAAATATATGAAACAGCTACAATTACAAAGTTATTCCATCAATCTTTAAAGGATTTATTTTTCTAGTAGCTTTAAAATGTATGCCATAGAGTTTAAATCTTTGTACGTTTAGTATGAATTTATTAGTAATGTATTAACTTTCTTCAATATATACCTAGTGAAATATGCATATCTTATGAGAATTTAAATTTGAAGATATTTTTTATTTTTTATATGTAACATTAAAAAAAGAGAAATAATTATTTTTCTGGATAAGTTTTATCTATAACAATCAAAAAATATTTAAATGTCAAATGCTATTATAGGTATATAACAGTCATTCGCTATAAAAGTCAAAACATATCAGAACAAACGAAATTGTTATCGAGAGGTTTGAGTGTACACCTTTTGGAAGACTTGTACTTTGTACAAATTCTTAGATATGAATAAAACGGGAAGAATAGAGTCCCAAAAAATAAAAAGGAAATATAAAATCTAAAAAAATAAAGATAATTTAAATTTAATAAGAGCGAGCAGTTCCTATTTATTAACTTCAAAAATTTCTTATACCCCATTCAATCTTTGTTATAATTGGGATCCAAATTGTTATTGCAAATACAGTAAAAATAGTAGTACTTAATACCCGTTTGTCCTTAATTTATTTTTTTTTTCGAATTTTTATTTCAAAAATTTATTTGTCTATGAAATTATGCAAGCTTTTGAAAATTTTCGAAAATGAGTTATTCAAAAATCAAAATTTTCAAAAAATTATTTTCCCGATTCAAAATTGTAATAGTTTTTCAAGTGAAATGCATGTCTAAACATAATTTTAAATTTCAAATACTATTTTTTAACTTAACTCCAAATACTATTTTTTTTTAAAAATTATAATTTTTATGTCTAAACGCCTACTTAGTTTGGAAAAAGGACCAAACAAGAACGTTAAAATGTGTGCCATAGAGTTTAAATCTTTGTACGTTTAGTATGAATTTATTAATAATGTATTAGCTTTCTTCAATATATACCGAGTGAAATATGCATATCTTATGAGATTTTAAATTTGAAGAATTTTTTTTTATTTTTTGTATGTAACATTAAAAAAAGAGGAATAATTATTTTTTTGGATAAGTTTTATCTATAACAATCAAAAAATATTTAAATGTCAAATGCTATTATAGGTATATAACAGTCATTCGCTATAAAAGCCAAAAAAATATCGGAACAAACGAGACTGTTATAGAAAGGTTTGACTGTACACCTTTTGAAAGACTTGTACTTTGTACAAATTCTTAGATATGAATAAAACGGGAAGAATGGAGTCCCAAAAAAAGAAAGAAAACATAAAATCTAAAAAAATAAAGATAATTTAAATTTAATAAGAGCGAGCAGTTCCTATTTATTAACTTCAAAAATTTCTTATACCCCATTCAATCTTTGTAATAATTGGGATCCAAATGGTTATTGCAAATACAGTAAAAATAATAGTACTTAGGACCCGTTTGTCCTTAAATATTTTTTTTTGCGAAATTTTATTTCAAAAATGTATTTGTCTATGAAATTCTGCAAGCTTTTGGAATTTTTTCGAAAATGAGTTGTTCAAAAATCAAAATTTTCAAAAAATTATTTTCCCGACTCACAAAACTGTAATAGTTTTTCAACTGAAATGCATGTCTAAACATAATTTCAAATACTATGTTTTAAGTTAACTCCAAATACTATTTTTTTAAAAAATTTATAATTTTTATGTCCAAATGCCTACTTAGTTTCGAAAAAAGGACCCAAAAAGAACTTTAAAATGTGTGCCATAGAGTTTAAATCTTTGTACGTTTAGTATGAATTTATTAATAATGTATTAGCTTTCTTCAATATATACCTAGTGAAATATGAATATCTTATGAGATTTTAAATCTGAAGTTTATTTTTTAATTTTTATATGTGACATTAAAAAAAGAGAAATAATTGTTTTTTCTGGATAAGTTTTATCTATAACAATCAAAAAATATTTAAATGTCAAATACTATTATAGGTATATAACAGCCATTCGCTATAAAAGTCAAAAAATATCGGAACAAACGAGACTGTTATAGAGAGATTTGACTGTACACCTTTTGGAAGACTTGTACTTTGTACAAATTATTAGATATGAATAAAACGGAAAGAATGGAGTCTCAAAAAAAGAAAGGAAACATAAAATCTAAAAAAATAAAGATAATTTAAATTTAATAAGAGCGAGCAGTTCCTATTTATTAACTTCAAAATTTTCTTATACCCTATTCAATCTTTGTTATAATTGGGATCCAAATTGTTATTGCAAATACAGTAAAAATAGTAGTACTTAGGACCCGTTTGTCCTTAATTTTTTTTTTCGAATTTTTATTTCAAAAATGTGTTTGTTTATGAAATTCTGCAAGCTTTTGGAATTTTTTCGAAAATGAGTTCTTCAAAAATTAAAATTTTCAAAAAATTATTTTCCCGACTCACAAAACTGTAATAGTTTTTTAAGTGAAATGCATGTCCAAACATAATTTCAAATACTATTTTTTAAGTTAACTTCAAATACTATTTTTTTTTAAATTTTTTTTTTTTTAAGTCCAAACGCCTACTTAGTTTTGAAAAAAGGACCCAAAAAGAACTTGAAGAATGAGGAAAAAAAACCTAATCCAAATCCTGACGTGTATTCAGCGT